AGACAAGTTGGAAAAAGCCCCTGCAACTGCTCACACCTCCATTTCTGATATCAGTTTGCTGAAACAGGGGAAAAGCCCATTTTTACCCTTTAAAAACACCAGCAGCTTTTCCCCAACTGCCTGGAACTTGCTCCCTCGTTCGTGCTGCAGCCACTTCCTCCCTCTCTTCCTGTCTCTTTCTAAGGAATATAAATACACTTTGTACTTTCTTCTATCCTAATCACTATGTGGGATGTCCTTCTCCGACACCAGAGCACCTCCTAAGTTTCCCCCCTAGCACAGGGGCAGCGCTCACAGTCACCATATGCTATCAGACCTCATGCAAACGCTTTCTCCTGGGTAACATGCTTTAAATGCACTCCTGTACCTTGCTACTGTGGCTGCTATTGCTGTGGAGGCTGGGGATGTCAGAGCCAACACTATCTGCCACCTACAGGACAAGGCAGGGCCACAGCAATGACAACTCTGCCAGACTGACATTTTCCTCACTCGTCTGCTTTTACCATCAGAACACATTTACAGAGAGACATGTCCTTCCATCTGAAATCCAGGCTGGTCCCTGTACCTACGAGCACAATTCCTGCAGCTCCTACAAAGCCTCTGCTCCACTGCTGTGTGTCACGACTGCTTAGACCAACCCAAGTCCACCAGAGGAGCTGAAGAGCCCAGGACTGGTGCACTGGAGCCCCGAGATGAGGGAGAAGCTGGGCTGGGGAGCTTGCCCCCAACTCTGGCTTCAAGCCCCACCAGACCTAGTCATTCTCCATAGTCTGGGGCCAAATGCTCAGACCCACATCCCAGTCCCATCTCAGTTCCCTGCAGGGACTGGGACCTCCTTGAGCCTCAGTTTCTTCATCTCTAGAATCCTGGTCCCTGACTCCCAGGTTCTTACGTGTATTAAATGAGGTCACGTAGGACAGCACCCAGCAGGCTTCTCGGCACAGAGCTGGCTCCTCAAGCCCTGCCACCCTATCCCCAGCCCCTGACTCCAGCCGACTTCTAGTGAAAATGCCAGGAGATAGAGCTAAAGCCCTCAGTCAGGTCAGGGCCCAGTCAAACCAAAAGGAAGTAAGTGTCATCCCCATGGCTGGCCCCCAGCACCACCCAGGACAGAGAGCTGTCTTTGGGAGATAACCACGGTTCCATGTACACTCACAGGAAAGAAGAGAAATTTTAAAAAATACACACGTTTTCTGAGTGTTTCTGTCAGTGTTTTGTTTCATTTTGTTTTGAACACTAAGATTTATTTTCAAACAGCACACAGACCGTCTGCGGGGCAGGGCCAGGCTGGGTGTCTGGGCCCCACCCACAGCAGCTGCCGGAACAGAGGACCCTTGCCCAGGTGCCACGGCCGAAGCTCTAGGCAAGCATGTGGCTGGGCAGCCCCAGCTCCGCCCTGCGACCGGGCACACATGCGGGCATAGGCGGGGTGCCAGGAACTCAACTAGGGGACACAGCAGCTTCAGGAACACTGGCGAATTCCACCGGACTTGCTGGGATGGGGCTTTTGGAAAACCACCTGATCTTTGGGAGAACACCTATCGGTTTAGGTCTCTCCTCTTGATTTCCCTTTGTTTTTCAAAAGTTTAAAAACAAAAACGGAAAAAAAATAAAAAGAACCACACATTTTTCGGGAAGAGGTGTTCTTCGTCACTGCACCCGCTCAGTGAAGTTCTCAGGGAAGACGCCCCGGCACTTCTCCAGCTCCTTGTGCTGGTTCCAGTCGCTCTCCTTCACGCCCATGAGCCAGCCTTCATCCTGGAGGGCAATGACCGGGTCACACGGAGCCATAGCTGTGCATCCCGCCTGCATCTGCTGAGAGGACCAGCCCCTCCCGCTCCTTTCCCCGTAGCCTGCCAAGCCCACCCTGAGAACACCTCGTCCAGGCAGGTGGAATCAATCTGAGGCTGTTTCTGTGAGCCCTCACTCTGCAAAGGTGGCCTGACTCCTGCCCTGGATAAATGTGTCTACACAACTCCCTCAACCTAGGCCGAGGGGCTTCCCACCAGATGGGGCTTACAGTGGATATTAGCTGCCCGGTCCAGGCTTCCAGACACCATAGACAACACTAGAAAGTTCTGGGAGTAATGAGCTGTTAAAAGCTTTTAGAGAGACTCACAACCACTCCACCCATCTCTCCAGCTCCGATTTCCCCCTTGCTTCAACACTGAGCCCTTGCAGAGGGTCTCCTCTTCACACCCTGACAACCTTCCCAGTCCCAAGCCCTGTCCCCTGGCTGTGCACCCCTGCCCGTGGCTATGTTCCCCATCCATGGCTAAGCCACTACTTCCCCTGCAGCTGGGCTGCCTGGGGCCTGCCTGGGTCTCTGATATTTCTCTGTGTGTCATTATTGGCCTAGTCACAGACTTCACTTATGTCCTATCTGAGCCCACTCTAGCCACTCCAAGACAACTCCCACTGGGGGCCAGGGCCAGGATTTGTTTCTTGCAATCCCATATTGCAAATGCTAGCCCACTGGGAGAACAGACCGACTCAGCACCAGGCCCAGGAAACCTTCATTCTTCAGGCCTCCCGCCCTGGGCCTCAGTAAGTACGTGGTCCTCTCTTCTCCCAACTCAGGACCTCCAGCCAGTCTGGCCTGACCTCACCCTGAGCCACTCTGGCAATTCATTCACACAGACATGTGATAACTCAGTATGTTTTCTGGAATCAGGAAGAGGCCAGCCAGGCCCCCACGCACAATCTGAAAGCACTTGGTGGCTGAACTGTGCTGAACTGTGCTTGTGGTCACCATCCCACAAGCACAAGTGCCTTCTGCACAATCAAGGAGGCTACTGCCAAAGGGCCACAGCCACCCAAGCAGAGCAGCTGACTTGGACCCAGAAGGGATCCTGCCCAGGCTGAGGGAGCCCTCACTTTAATGAGATTAACACAGAGAAGCCACAGCAGGAGGAGGAGGGTCTGGAAGGCAGGGGACATGGCTGAAAGCCTGTGGTCCTATGTGGTCAAGGGCGGGACCCTCCTGGAGGGGCAGCAGGGCCAACATGAGCCAGCACTTGAGCCCTGCTCAGTCTGGCTGGAGAGTAGGAACCCTGCAGGCAAACACCAGGGCAGGAGAATTCCAGGATCCTACTGGGGAAAAAGGCAAGCCCTGGGGCAGGACCAGGGAAGGGAGAGGGAAAGAGAAAGTCAGATGCAGAAGCTGAGAGACAGATGGCCCTGAGGAAGGAGACAGTGGGGGGGAGAAAGCAGGGGCTAAGGGAGGAGATGGGACACACAGGTCAGGGAGATAAAGGACAGGGGAAAGGGGCTGAGGGAGGAGCAGACGGGAAGTGGCTCAGGGACAGGAAGGCCAGGGCCAGAGGGGCTGCTGGTCCTCATAGCCTCTGCTTCCCCTTGCTGGCTGTCCCCCACCACGGCCACCCTCCCAGGACTTGCCTGCTCTTCAGGGTTCTGGAAGGGGATCACCAGCACCACATCACCAGCCTTGAGTTGCAGCTCGTCTGTGTCGGTGGCTGTATAGTCATGCTGGGCCTGTACCTGCAGAGGTGGGGGAGAGTGTGTGGGAGCCCCGGCCCCTCTCGCAGCCCTGCACAGCACTAACCCTGTGGAGAGCATGATGTCATTTGGCCATATGAAGACAGCAGCAGGACAGGGCTCAGAAGCTATCCTGCCACCTGAGAGTGGCCTAGTATGGACAGTATGACTGCAGGCAAACCACAGAGCCTCCCAGGACTCGGCAGCCTAACTACCCCCAGGGCACGTGGGATTTGGCAGCCAGAAGCTATAGGATCTGCTAGCCTGGCTCACCTTGAACATAAACCCGGGGGGCAGGTCCAAGCGTCCAGTCCCACTGCCAGCCTCCACGGTGCCGTTCACAGTTGCTGGGAAGGTCTCCACCACAACAGCAGGAAGAGAACTCTGGGGGCAGGGAGCACAGATCAGCTGGGCAGGGAGGTGGTCCAGGGAGGGCCAGGGCCACCACAGAGGGGAGAGAGGGAGGCTTCTATGCCTACTGCCAGAACGGTCCACCCCAGCTTCCTCAACAGGAACCAGGCCTGGACGAGCACAGGCAAAGGACACAGGGAGCCACGAACAGGCAGACAGGCAGCGGGGAGGAGGGGATGGGGCTTTGGTCCCTGCTGTCTTACGGAAGCTGCTTCACTTGCCGCTGTCTCCCCGGGCTCCTGGGCTCCAGCCGCAGGTTGGGTCCCACCCGCCACCTCCGTGGCCTCTGCTGGCTGCAACATAAATGCCAGCTTGGGGTCACACACAGGTCAGGGCACTGAGATCAGGACACAGGAAACCAGCCATGGGAAGGCAATGCTCAATGGAGGAGGGGGGACCGTGCTCAAGTGAGAGGGCAGGGGCAGTGGCCAGTGCCACACACAATCAGGGACCCCTGCAGGACAGGCCTGGCCCTGAGCACAGGAAGCAGCTGAAGAGAAGACACTGGCAGGCCCAGGAATGCTCAGAGATGTGCTGCTGATAGTGCCAGAACAGGCCCTGGATGCCCTCTGGCCCTGCCTCACAGGCCCTGCCCTCACAATCTGCCCACCCTGCCCAGCCTGGCTGGCCCTTTGCAGACTGGCAGCGGCCTGCAGGGCTCAAAGGTGGCTGTGCCCGGGATGGCTGCACCCACCTGTCCCAGCCTGAATACAGCTCAGGGCAGGCTGGAACAGCCCATGCCCAACCTGGATGCCACCCTCCCCTTGAGGACACCACAGTGCAGCTGAGCTGACCTGGCTGACACTCAGACTCAGCCCCTCCCAGGTGCCGCAAACAAGTTACTCAACCTTCCTTGCCTGTGTTTCCTCATCTGTGAGAAGTGTCTGACTGACAAGGCTGCAGTGAAGGTAAATGAGGAACTTCTTGGCACAAGCCAGTGGGTATTGTAAGTGCTCCTCTCTCCCAGGCTGAAGGCCGGGCCAGGGTGGGCGAGTAGAGGGCCTGGCAGCCCTAGAGACAAGCCTGTCCTCACCCTCCGGCCCATGGTGGCCTGGTTCATCCTGTACCCCCTCTTCTGGGCTCTTCCTCCATGCTGCCCCCCAGAGACTGGGGACAAGCCAGACACTTACTTGAGCAGGCCCCGGCTCGGCCGACTGGCTGGGCCAGGACACAGCAAAGGTGCCCTCGGCAGCGCTGGGCTCCCCGGAAGGCAAGCTGCCATCTGGACCCTCTGTGGGCTAGTGATAGGCCACCAGGAGAGAGTGGGGAGGAGTGGGGAGGCCAGAGTGGAAAAGGTGGTGGGCAGGATGTGAGACAAGAGAAGACAGTCACCAGCAGCCAGTGCTGCTAGGGGGCCAGGGGATGTGGGTGTCTGTGACAGGCAGGCAGCCTGGCTGGGACCCAGTGGGTGACTACCTCCCATCCCTCGTTCCTACCTCCACCAAGGGGACAGGCCGCTGTCACAGTGCTGCGGAAGCTCAGCACCACTGAAAACTACTCGTCAGAATGGTCCTACCAGCCTGACCAGGCTTCATTTCTTTGTCTCCCTCCAGAGTGAAATACTGTCATGGGGTTTCCCAAACTCCCGAGGACCCAGGGGCCTGTGCCTGCATCTCCCAGCACCCCTGCTTATCAGGGAATCTCAGGGCCTGAGCCGAGGAAGCATGGGAGAATCCTGGCTCCATCATCACTAGTTATTGGGCAAGTCCCAAGCCCCCCCCCGCCCCGAGCTTCCATGTCTTAAGCCATCAGGTGAGGGTGACATCTGTCCCCCCGTGCTGGCTGTGCACCTGTCCAGAGGCCTTGACCTCAGAAGGTACCTCTATCCTGCCTTCCCTGCCTCCTCAAGCCATCCTTGCTTTCACTACCCTCGCCAAATAGCTCTCCCCCAAGGCCTTCCTGCCTCACAGGCCTCACCCCACCAAGAGGACACTCATCCATCCTGGGCAACCAGCCTGCAACTCAGAGCCCACTTCCCTCCAGCCTGATAGAAGGGGAAGCGGCAGAACAGCCAGAGAGATGGCAGCCTTACCAGCTCCCTGTGCAAGTGAGCACGCCCCTGTGTGCCACATGTGCGTGTGCGTGTGAGTGCACCCATGAACCGGCTAGGTGGGAGGCAGCGAGTGAACGAGGGCACATGCAGAAGAACGGCTTCCCTGAGGGGCCAGGCACAAACACTCGGCTTACCTCCCAGAGGTCCCACGGAATTGGCTGAGCGCAGCAGTGAGGGAGAAGGGCAGAGTTAGCACAGAGGTTAGACATGAGGTGGCAAGCAGTCCCCAGGGACACTCTGCACCCACCCCAGGCTCTCCAGCCCAGCAGACACAGGGCAATGCAAAGCCGACTGGACCCTAAGGTCTATCATGGTGAGCCCCAGACATCTCTCAAGGGACTGTAAGACCCAGGGCTAGGGAGGGTCCAGACAAAGGGTGACTGCCAAGAATGGGATAGAATGCTGAGAAGAACCAGACGTTGCTCAGAAGGGTTCAGCTAACCTCCCAGCTGACCCATGTCTGCTCTTTGCCCTACAACCAGAGGAGGTGACAAGAACCAGGGCCAGGATGCAGGGGAAGGGCAATGGCCTGGGCCTAGATGGGCCCACACAGCTGGTGGGCAAACATGAGCCCAGGGCCCACCACCCACAGGCTAGTGGGCCTGTGGGCAATGGTGGTCACAACCAACCTGACCAGAGGGCGTGGGTGCCTTCACAGGGCTTGCCACAGGTGGAAGGGAGTCAAAGTCCAAGTCCAGAAGACTGGCCTGCTCCGAAAAAGGCCCTGGGGCTTCGAACTTGGCAGCAGCAGCAGAGGAGGAAGCAGTTAGTGTTAGTCTGGGAGCCCTCACCTTGGGCACACACACACACAAAGACACAAACACACGTCCAGGCACCAGCCTGGCCACCTCATACACACACTGGGGAGCACTGCCCACTGCACATGCCCTGGCACAGGCCCCCACCCACAGAAGGAAAGCAATGGCCCACCCCAGATGTCTAGCAACAGACTGGCTCTGGGACAGCCACCCCACAGGGCCCACACCACGCCACTGCACTTTCTAGTCTCCACCCTCAAGCTGGTGGTGGCCTCCTGCGTCAGCTCCTCCTCTCTGCCCCCTGCCCCATGAGCTCTGCTGACCTCACTCCTGTCCCCAAAAGCAATGTCAGGCCACAGCCACCACCAGACACAGCCACCCTCAGCCCCAAACCAGGAAGGGCTCAAAGTCAGGGGTTTCATGCTAGCCCTTCCCCAGCCCAGACAGACAGGGCCCTCTAGTGATGCCCCAGCAGCCAGCCCCAGGGATGCAGGACAAGGCTGAGCCAGCCACATAGCCCAGGAGGCCAATCTTCAAAGTAGGAGTCCCCAACACGAGGTGGATTCAGAATCCCCTAGGACACCTGAGTTAAAGCTGCCACTCCCAGCCATTCCTGCTCAGTGACCTGGGGTGCAGCCTGGAAATGTGCATGTAACAGGGATAGCCAGAAGATGGGAGCCAGGGGCCCCTACCACTCATGAGAAGCCCCACAGCAGGCTGGCCAGGCGATCAATGGAAGGCCCTGCACGGTGGGTTCAATGACTCTGATGAGCTCCCTGACCACCCAGGGTGGCCAGCACATGGAGGACAAGCTGCCTTCTGGGATGGGGCTAGCTTGGCTTCTGTCTTCATCCCGAATGTGGGACTTCCCTTTGGTAGGTAGGGGTCCAAAGAAGAAGGGTGTGGCTCGGGACACCTCCTCCTCTGCCCTCACGCATTGCTGGAAGGACCCCAGGCCAAAAGGATGCCTAGTTCTGCTCACTCTTGATGGGTGCCTGGCACTGACAGCAGGTATCCCTGGGCCCAAATCCACCCCCACTGCCTCCATCACCAAAGAGCCAAGACCTGAGGCTGCGGGCAGGGGCTCCTCAGAGGAGCTTCCACAGCTAAGCTTCAGGCCTGTGGGGAGAGACCTGAGACCTTCAACCCCAAGAACACACAGCTGTCAGCTGTCCCACTGCTCTGGGGACAAGGCATTGGGCATTCCACATGGGCCAAGCTGCAGACAGAGTGCCCAGGCCAAGTGGACTCACTTCCTGGCACCAGGGGGCCCAGGCCCTATCCCCTGCCCTAGGTCTCCCCGAGCAGGTCTTGCCTTGTCAAGTAAGCTGGGGCAGGGAGTTCACTGTCTGCCCTGTAACCACTGTCGCTGAGGAGCAACCACATGGGGTGCTGGCGCCTGGCCTCCAGGTGGTCTCCCTCCATCGAGCAGCCGGCATCTCTCCCCAGTGGCTTCCCCTGCCCGGCAACACCCTCCCTCCCTTCTGAGATGTCAGCCAAGCCCAACAGTGTCCCCTTGTGCTCCAAGTGGAAGGTCATCTGCCAGAGAGCTGACCGCATCCTCCCTCCCTGGCCCCCAGCAGGCGGCCACCTTGCCATGCAGGACTGACACCGTCCTTCCATGCAGGGTCACAGGCTACTCACCGTACCACAGCAGTGAAGCCCTGGTGGCATCAGAACCATGGACCAGGAGAAGCCCCCACCATCCCTGCAACTCCACCCAAGGTGACAGCTCTCCCACAGCTCAGACTAGACCCACCGACCAATTCCCCAGACATGAGACGAAGCAGCAGCAAGGGGGATATGCGGTCACCTGGACGGATGGACGCACTCAGAGCCCAGGGTACAGGCAGTCTCTAGGTCACCTCCTGCTGGGCTGCCCTGCCCTGGCCTAGCATAGGCCTACTAGATAGGACACGGGTTCCTCACCTGTTAAATGGGAGCATGACCCCCTCCCAGAGGGTGGATGAAAACAAATAAGAAGGAGTAGGGACGTGGCTGGCACTGTGTCCCCTCAGGACTTGCCCTCGCTCCCCTGCACACATGGCCGCTGGCGGGCCTGCCCGGGCAGCCCAGCGCAGAGCACACTCAAGCCCAAGAAGAGCAGCAGCCAGCTGCTGGGCCGTTCCCTCAGCCCTGTTCCCACAGTGCTCTTCCTACAGGGAGGAGGGGCTCCCCTGCCTGTGGGCCCCTGACCCAGGGCATCACCCACCCACCTACTAACAACCTTGTTTTAAAGTCCTTAGTTCCAACCCCAGGTCCCTGCACAGGAGCTTGAGGCCACCGTCGCGCAGGCCTTTCCTCACAGAGACCACGGTTCTCAGCTCCCGGCACCCACTCCCCACACTCATATCCTCCAGCCTGTCCCTGCTCCATGCCTCAGAGCTGGGCAAAGGAGTCTCCCCATAATGGGCAAGGTCTATGTAGGAAGGGCCCCCACTTTCCACAGGAGGGGGCACAGGGCCTAGAGAGCTGACCTGGAGCAATGAGTTCTCTGGGGGTGCAGGGAACCCCAGCCACCCCTGAGAGGACCTCACAGTGTGTCAGCCAACTAACTCTAATGGTGATGAGATGTCCTTCTATAACAAGGGCCACCTCCCGGACCAACCCTCCCCCGGAGCATCTGTGAGTGGACACCTCATAAATCTACTCTGAAGCCCAGCCACTGCCCCCACCCCTAGTGGCTGGCAGCAGCTCTGGGAGCTGAAGTCCAGGTACCCCGGCCATCCCAGGGCCAGGGTGCCCCTGCCACTTACTCCTTACTGTGCTTACCACCTTACTGTGCTCCTGCCACCTCCTCCCACTGCCATCCCCCTAGAGGCTCTCCCCACTCCAGGAAGCCTTCCCTCAGCACCCCAGGGCCTCCACATGCCCCGTTCCCCTCTGCCAGGGCACCCGTCACCACCACGCAGAAGATGCCATACTGCTCCCCTCTGTACCCCTGCGTCTGCCACAGTACATGCTAGAAACAGGCGATGGAGGGTGATGGAGATGATGGAGGGAAGGAGGGATGAGAGAGGGAGGCCGCCAATCTCTCTTGCCAGATTCCTGGCCCTTGAGACAGAAGCCCAGGCCGTGGGATGGAGGACAGAGGCCATGCACGCCCAGAGAGGGCAAGAAGAGCCGGGCAGAGCTGGGCCGCGGCGGCCGCGGCTGACCTGGGAGGGGGTGGTCACGCTGATCTCAGGGACAAAGGTGTCCTCAAACAGGCTGAGGATCTGCTCCTGCTTGACCTCCTTGGACGGGGTGTGTTTGGGAGGCGGAGGGACTGGTGGGCCTTTCCGAAGCTGTGGGTCGGCGGCGGGTGAGGGGGCCACCCAGGGAGACACAGAGGAGCATGGGGTCAGGGGAGACAGACAGAGACAAAGCCACAGTTAGTCACACCCCAGGCCACAGCACCACCCAGGCCACTGAGAAGGGAGCAGATGAAAAGTTACTGCCCCCAGAAACGCCAGGCCCAAGGCCACCCAGGAGGAAACCGAGCAGGGGTCCAGAACCCAGAACAGCTGTGCAAAGATAGAGGAGAAAGTGGGGAGATGAGAGGAAAAAAGGAGAGAGAGAGGCTTCTAGCTGCCCACTGCCCTACTGCAGGAGGGTGTGGCTCTCACTCGCCTAGGGCAGAAGAGCCCCAAGACAGCTGGACCCCCAGCCTCCCCTGCCCACTTCTGCCCTTCCTGTAGAGGGCCAGGGATCCAGGAGCCCCAGCTTAGCCTCAGTCTGTCCCTGTGGACACCGGCACAGAGCCAGGGCCCAGCAGAGGCCATACACCTGCCCACCCAGTGTGGCTTCCTCACGTGTCAGACATGGACAATGATAATGTCAACCTCACAGAGTGGGTATGAGGATTCAGTGAGTGAAAACAGAAGGGCGGGCACTGGGTGCGGCCCAAAAGAAGCACCATTCAGTGTGGGCTCCCATCACTGCCCTCAGTATGGCTATGCTAACGGCCGTGGGACAGGGCAACAGCCCAGAACAGAGAGATTGAGCGGTTGCCGGGAGCCTGGCTGGGAGGCTGCTGCCGTTGGCTCAGAGCAGGTCTGCTCCTAGGGCCTCTGCAGATCTGGGGGGCAGACAGGGGTCCAGGACCTGGACCCTGGCCACCCCACACTCTCCTCTGAGCCCATCCTCTTTCTGTCCCACACAGCCACCTGGTTGGGCTCCTCCCTCAGCCCCCTGCAAGAGAGAAGGCCAGGAACAGGGACAGGCAGCCACCTCTGGAGACTCTGGATGCCCTGGGAGCTGAAAGCCCCAGAGCCTCTGTCCAAGAAGAAAAGGAAAATGGAGAGAGAGAGTCAAAGACCACCGAGAGAGGAGAGGGGATGGCGCTGCAGTGGGAGGGGGCACTCGGGGAGAGGAAAGACAGCCACAGACGCCACCCCCACACACAAAGCAGACCAGGGCCACAGAGCAAGTCTGGGCGAGGTGGGGCCAAGGAGACCAAGGTACAGGCCACAGCCCACTGGGCAAAGCTTCCAGCTCCAAACCTGCTCAGGCCCAGGCCCAGCAGGGGACAGGGGAGTAGGAAGGAGGAGGGATGACAGCTGAGCAGAAGGGTCAGGGGAGGACAGACGGGGACATGGTACCTACCTGAGATGGGGACTTGGGGAGAGTGGCCCCCGGGGTGGCCCCACCAGCCAGCTCTGGCTCATGGTTGACTCTGATCTCAGGGGTGGCAGCAGGGGAGCCATCAGGCGGAGGTGAGGGACTCTTGTTTCCTTTTGCAAGGGTGTCATCACTGTGGAGGTGGGACAAGAAAGAAAACTGGGTGTGAAAAAAGGAAGCAAGCTGGGAGTCGGGAGACCAGGAGGAGAGAGAGGCATGGCCAAGCAGACGGCTCGTGAGAAGGAGCAGGTGCACATGTGGATGTGCAGCCGTGCACGTGAGGGGGTCCTGGGGGGACACATGTGCACCTGTGTGCCGCCAGAGCCACGTGTGAAATTAGACGTGTGTACATGTGTATGCCCCGCAGGCCCTACGTGAAACTGTATGTGCTTGTGTGTGTGTGAGAGAGAGAGCAGCTGGGAACAATGGGGTCTGGGCTGAAGGCCTTCAGAGTGGGGGCTGCCCTGGGACAGCGACAGCACAAGGTGGGGCTCTGGCTGGAGACCTGTGGTCCCCAGGGATGCAGGCAGGTCCCTGAGAACCGCCCACCACGGAGGCCAAGTCAGTTGCCCCATAGGCTCCCAGGGGCTCTACCCTGGCCCCAGCTGAAGGGCTGGAGGCCCGCAGCATGAGACAGACAAACACCCAAGGGACAGTGTGAGCTTCCCAGGGGTCACAAGGCAGCCGCTCTGCAGGGACCCATCCCAGGCCTCCTCACACCCTGTCACACACCTGCACTCAGATGCCACTGCAGGCCACCATGAACAAAGTGGCAGCTTTGTGGCAGAGCAGCAGGCAGGCAGGTCAGGGCAGGCCTTGCCCCCACGCCACAGCACTGAGTCCAGCCCCACCGGCAGACAGTGCACACGGTATGAGGAGCAGGGGAGGGACTCTCTGCCAGGCCTTGCAGAGGGAAGCCCTAGAACAGTGCTGCCCAACACAACAGCCACTGGCCCTGGGGCCAATGCAAGCCTAATTTAATTTAGATTAAAAGCTCAGCTGCTCAGTCACGCTGCCACATGTCAAGTGCTCAATAGCCACCTGAAGTGACTGGCTGCTGTGCTGGACCCGTGGGTCTAGAAGGACATGGCAGAAACTAGCAATGGAGCGGCCTGGGGGTGATAACGGGATGGTGTAAGACACTGCTGGTGCTGCCTTCCCTCTGCTGAATGTGTGTTTGATGGGAGTGTGTTTGCCTCCACAAAGAACTGTGTAAGTTTAAACACACAGCACACCCGTGATTTCAGAAATGGAAACCTGACCATGCTGGAGCAGCCTGCTCCCCAGCCCGCCTCTGGAAGTTTGCTTCCTTCTCCACTGGGAGGTCCCTGGTGCTGCCAGCTGCCACCCAGGGCTGGACAACATGGTGGTACCCCAAAGAATGTGCTAGATGAAGCCAGACTACTCAAACTGGCTGCCCTGTGCCACCACCTCCTTCCCTCCCACACACACACAACACAACACAGCCCGGCCATCACTGCCCCCTCCCACCAGCAGCCCTGCCCAGCAGCACCACACACAAGGCGGGTTGCAGGTTAGTGGCGCCCTGGATGCAGGGTGCAGGGCTCGGGGCACAAGGCGCATGCACAGGGCCAACCAGGGTGCTGGCCTCTGTGCCCCGCAACGCAGCACTCACGGCTGGTACCTGTTCTTCTTTCTACGCAGCCGGGAGAACAGTTTAGTTTTCTTTCTGTGGGGACGGACGGGATGTGGAGGCCTTCATTTTGGGAAAAGGCCAAATGCAAAGCTGGCCTGTCCCCTTTCCTCATTGCCAGTCCCTTTGCTCAGAGGACAAAGAGGCAAAAGCCTCTACTGAGTGCTCGGAGGCTGTGAAGGGACCTGCTCTCAGGCCCTGGTGGTCCAGTTCCAGGATGCCCCAATTGGCCCCAGCATGTGGTCAGGTACCCAGGGTGGCACTGACAGCGCCTGGCAAGCTGCAGGGGGCTCAAAGTGGGAGGTCTGCCCTGTCTGTGGTCACTGACCCCAAGGGCTCAGGGGGCACTCAGAGTGCCAGGAAGTGGCCCACTGCCCGGAATGAGGCCCTGGGAGAGGAGGCCCTCAGGTGGAGACAAGCGACAGATGGGCTGCTTTGGTGGGAAGGAGACTCACCAGCCCCTACTCCCTCCCTCTTCCCTCGAACTGCCCCACCTACAGCCATGCTCCCTACCCTCCTCACCCATCCTGGACACACCCAGACCGGGCAGCTGTCCTTGTCTTTTGGCCTTTACTCCAATCCTGCCCCCCACCCTGGCCTCAAGGTGTCGATAAAGCCCCTCTCTGGTCACATCAATTTGATATTCAGGGCAGAGTGTAGTAACATCCACTGAACACCTTCTCAGGCCTAAGCAAAACCTCAATGGCCCCAAGAGGCAGTTTTATGGAGGCTGGAGGCTCATTGGTGCTGTCTGCTGTGACACACATGTGTGTGCACACACTCGCACTCCTGGTACACCCCTCTCACACGCTCACACAGGCACTCGTGCAAGAAAGGATGTCCCTGAGTCAGAGAAGCAGGCATTTCCCCACTCCTTCAAGATTACTCTCAGGAAACAGGGATCTCCTTGGCAGCCAGACCTCCCAGAGGGTCTGGGGCTGAGGACAGACACCATGACACCTTTGTGGGTGTGCAGGAAGCTGCTGTTGAGGGCTTTCCCAGGAGCCACCTCCCTGTTCCAAAGAGGACACTTCCTCTCAAAAAGGCTGCACACTCAGAAATCACACTGTCCTATCTGCCTCCCCACAGCTAGGCAGGCAGTGCCACCTCTGCCTTGACTGCTCCTGCTCCACAAACGGGGGGTCAGGGACCTGGCTTAGAACTGCAGACTCAAAGGTGAGCTCCTTCCTGACATAACCAGAGGAGTGGGAGTGTCCAAAGACAGAGGCCTGCCATCACCTGATTTGCCAATAGAGGGAGGCCAAGCTAGGAAGGTCTCCAGATCCCCAGGACCAAACCCATGGGGGACCAAGGAAGGCTCTAACTGCTGGGCTCACAGGAAGGAGCTGCCCACACCGGACAAAGTCAGTGTGTACTAGGGCCCTGCCCACATGCCCAGCTGCAGCCCAGCAGGGCAGGCACTCACACACCTGGGCTGGGCCTTGACTGTGAAGGTGTTGCTCCCGTGCTGCTTCTCCAGGCTGACCAGCACGTCGTTGAGGTTCTGGTTGAGCTGCAGGAGGAACATCAAGGAGGTACGGGCTCAGGGCCACCAAACAGTCCCACCTTCCCCAAAACACCTCTGCTCCACACACTCCCCACAGCCCCTGCCTCTGCCAGGAACAAGCTCCTCCTCCCCCATCAGTGGGAACCAGCACAACAAACCCAGACAAACCTAAGCAGATTGTATTACTAATTAATCCCTATCACCTTTGGTAGCCATCTTTTCTCCTTCTTCTACTTATAAGGATATCCCAAAGTGTCACTGCTTTTACATTATTTCCTTAAAAACTGCTTTTACAGACTACTGATCTTAATTGTTAAGGTCATTCTGCCTAAATGCTTTCATATCATGCTACAAATTCCACACATTTCCACCGAAGCACAGGCAAGACAGAAGGTTTCTGCCTGACACATGGTGATTCTCATTGCTGAGAATGTTTCCCTCTTTGATTTGGCCACTAGGAAGCTCAGAGCTGAATTTTCCTCCCACCTATAAACAACTGTGCCCTGTGGCTATATTTCTATGGACTAACTTC